ATAGCTTATCACTAATAGCGTGCATATGAATAATGTTGGTTATGTTTAAGAATGATAGGTGTAGTGAGAGAACAGAGTAAACACGTTGATAACTATATAGTAAGAAGGAAAGAAGCAGCAAAATACTTGGTTGTTTGAATTTTAATTTTTTTTTTTTTTTGGTACCAGGGATTGAACTCGAGACCTTGTGCTTGCGAGGCAGGCGCTGGGACCACTGTGCTAACTCCCCAGCCCTAATATTTGGTGTTTTGAGGGATCTCTTGAATAAAAACTTAGGGTCCACAATGTCTGGTGCTTCCAAGAAAATCTGCAAATGTAAATGTTCAGATGTGAGAGCCAATCTCTCAGATTTGGAAAGTTGCTGTGGACATCATGAGGCTGACGCCTATACTCCTCACATTTGACAGCAGTGAATAGATGGAACTTGTACTCATTCGTTGCTAAAGTTGGTTTTTTTCTTTAGAGTGGACGTGAAGCATATAAAACAAACATTTTGGCCTAAAAATTCTGGTTTGTGATTCATTGGCACTTAGGGCTTTGTTTAGAAGCAACCTCAATAATTTTTCGACTGAATCATTTTCTAAATTTATTTTTAACAACTGATTTTCTAATAGTAGCATATTAATCTTTGTGATGTCAAAACCATTGATAATAAAAGCTTTGTACTTAGTGCTCTGAGAACTCTATAATTCCATTATATGGAATGCCATGTGTATATTTTGGTTCTTGATGAGAAAATTTATGAAGACAAATATAAGTTTTTTTTCTTTCTTTAAAAAAAGATAAGTTAATTACCCTGGTGTTTTTATTCTGCTAAGAGCACATTCTGATATTCCTTAAGATGTTAATAAATATGACAAGAAAGGTCACAGAATTAGTAAACAGTATAGCATTAAATCCTAGAGAAGCACTGTACAGAAAGAGAATTTATTTCATTTTTTTTGTAGTTTCAAACGTGAAAGCATAATACCCATGCTTCTAAATGAATAGTGAATCCCCAACAATATTTTTAGCAACTCAGGTAGCTTTTCTTAGGCCTTTGGCCATAGTCTTAAAAACTCAATTGTCAAAAGAGCCCGGTATTTTTTCTAGTGAAGGGAAAAATTATCTTCATTAATACAATGATTTATCTATTCATTCCTCATATCAAAGTTTGGAATAAAATTTAGAAAAATTACATCTTTCAATGTTTCAGTGGCTCAGAGTTTTTTGCAAGTATTATACATACTTTTAAAAGGACAAGCATGTAAAAATTCTATTCAACTTGTAATTATTTAGTGATTCCCTGACAAAGGATCCACTTCAAACTTACAATATCTTAACTGAAATCTTAAATATAATATTGTATTTTTTCCCAACATAATGTATTTTATAAGAATTCTTTATGAAAAAATCCACAACACTGGATTCTTTTTAAATCAATTCAAAATATTCTGCTTCTCCAATTGTTTCATGGTTGCCATGGCTTTAAAGGAAACAGGAAAGTATTCAAAATCCCTTTTCTCAGTGGTCTGTGACATTCAAAACATCCAGCAGTGCTGCTATAGTGGAACCAGGGGCTTTTGTTTGTCAAGAGTTTCACTATCACTGCCAGAGCACAAAGCAAATGAAAGCCTTGTCCAAATTTATCTACAGAATCTTATCTGCAACAGAGCAACTACTGAATATTTATAGAAAGAAAGTATTGGAAACTTGGAAAACAATTACTCTGGGACTGACTTTAGAATTCATGTTTTCCCCAATTTGTCTGTTTTAAAATTACAAGGTACAGTGCACAAGTATTTGCTTCAGGAAAACTGTTTTGACTGCTCTCTTCCTTGAGCCTCACTGTAGCATAACTCCTATGTCACTGGGTGCAAATCTGTCACTCCTTACAGGTTCCCTAAGACAAAAAGCCGTGTCATGTCTGTGCTTGTACTGTCACTGGCTGGTCAGTGCCTGCACCAGAGTGGGAGAAAATGTGTGTGTGTGATAAGTCAGTCCCAAGTTTAATTCCCGAAGGACAGCAAACTGATGAGAAAGAGGACAAGATTACCTTTTAAATAAATATATACACATATATATGTAAATATACATACATGTATGTGTATATATACATATATATGAATATGTATATAGATTTACAGCTTCCTTAGATGTACTCCTTACTTGTCACTCTGTGCTCTTGCAACTGTTTTCATTTTCTTCAATAGACTTACACTTTTATACTAAAGTTCTCTTAAAAAGAGAGAAAAATGAACAAAGGTTCTTTGACCCTGGAAGCTTTGTCTGAAAGGATTTTCATAACAGGAATAGTTTTATGCTTTGTATTTTTAAATAATAGGAAATTTCTATCCTATTATCATGTTTATTTTATATAAACATTATATAGAACATAATACATCAATGTATATTTACTTGATTATAAACATTTTTTCCCCCAAATCTTTAGTTATACTGCATAATCTGGGCACATTCATTGTATTTATCCTATGAATGCTTATATTTTCTCACTCTGGAAAACATGGCACTAAAATACATCTCTTCAACAACAGGGCATTTGCAGAAACAAAGCCATTTTCAACTGTGAATGACTTTAATACATTCCTACATAACAAGTCTAAAATCTTATGCTTTTTCTGAGTTTGAATTTGTTCTGAAATATGATTTATGAAATATTATTTTGAAATATGATTTAAAATGAAAATGAAATATTATTTTAAATAAAACTAAAATGAGTTTTAATACATAAATTTAGATTATATTTATTGATTAAACAATCAGTATAAGGCTATTATATTATTTGGAGGACACAGAGAGGGTAAGAAATGTGACAAAGCAGAGGGAAAAACATAAGTACTCTTTCTATTTCTATTTAGTGTATGATTCATTTGCTCTTTACCCATTCATTGTTCACATCACCAAGCATCCAAGGAGCTTCTGACTCACCAGAGAACACAGGCAAGAAAATGGCTCACCACAGTGTAAGAGTGTAGTGGTCAAGCTGTGGGAGTGGAGGATGGGGAAGGCTTTCTGGAAGGAGGGGTATTTTCATGGTGGCAATTGGAGTAGAGGGATTTGAGGTTGGCATAAGAAAATCACCAACAAGTCTGCTAGTGAAGGTCTCCCACACTTGTTTATTGCAGTAAATAGAAGATAAGAGATTAGAAGTGTCTATCTTATGTGGTTCTTTTCTTTTTCTTTTCTTGTTTTGGTACTGGAGATCGAACTCAGGACCTTGCGCTTTCCAGCGGCACTACTGAGCTAAATACCCAGCCCCTATGTGGTTCTAATTTTATTAAAAAATGGAATTCTGAGGAGCTAGAGCAGCCCACGGCAGAATAGTCAAAGGCAAGGAAAGCTGGACCTCTTTGCTGCAGCAGTTCTAGCTACCGTATCTCAAACTTGGGTATTTAATCTTAAGAGGTAGAAGACTTGGCTGGAAGAAGTCAAAACTAAAAAAATACCCATGTATTGGCACAACCTGTAATGTGTCATGAAGATTTTAAAATAAATTAGAAGTTAATTAATATTTAATAGATGTCATTCCTTATGGATGCTGTGGCTATGCCCAGTCTTATTATTCTTTGTGATGTTCAGGGACATGAGTAGACTGTTCTGGGTTCTTCCAGGGTAAGCTTCAGGGAAATACCATTGCCTCTTTTTAAGGGAAGAAAGAAAACTTGTAATACCAAAGATAAATAGAACTGGGATAGGTGACTGGTGGATTATAATGAATTAAATTACAAGAGCACATTTTACAAAATTTTTAGACAGTTAAATAAGAGGTTTTATATGTCTTGGTAAATGGGTAATGTTTTTATTTTCATTTGACAAATGATCCTATTAGCAGACTATGTGTCTTTACCTGATTTTTTGGCCAAAGTCTGGTTTTTAATCTGTATATATTATTAATAACTTTATAATGTCTTATAAGTAAATGAATCTGATGCTGGAAAAATAAAAGAGGGGAGGAGGGAAAGGGAAAAAAGAATTGAAATCTACCAATTTCCTACACTGAATGTAATCATATGCTGTAAACATGTACTAATAAAAGTTAAAAAATGCAAATCAAAAAGTTAGCAGGCATCATTGTTATCCAGTCAGTAAGCACTAGAGACCATACGTGAATTAAATCTTTCTCTCTTTCTCTTTTCATTGAAATTGTCCTTTCTGAGACTAGGTGGCTGTCACTCAGGGATCCTCTAGCCTGTAGGGAACATCTACCCTGGTTGATTTCAGTATGTATTTGTTTTACATACTTGCTGAGTTTCAGTTCAGGCATAAGTTTGTGAAGTAGAAAGAAAAAAACATGTGAATTTGGAAAATATTCTGTCTCTCTGTCTCCAAAAGCACTAGAACATGCACAGAGGACAGATATTCAAAATAGAGGGATAAAGAAAAGCAATAGAACCTAATTCAGAAATTTATCCTTTGGTAAATCAGTAATGTATTAAAGAAAATTCGTGTTTTAAATTTTTGTTATTATTCAAAAGAAGTAGGGCTAAAAGCCTCACTTGACAAAGCATTAAATAATAGAATTTCCAGGCATGGTGGTGTAATCCTAGCACTCAGGAGGCTGAGGCAGGAGGATCACCATTAGCACAATGCCAGACTGAAATACATGGTGAGACCTTGTCTCGAAAAAAATCCAAAAAACAAAAACCCCACAAAAAACAAAAAAGTTGAATTTATTTTAATCTTTTGGTAGTGTTCCAATATAACTCTTCCTCTTTATTCCACACTCACAGGATGAATATTCCATGTTTTCATTTATATGAACATACATATGTACAGTTTGATATTTCTGTAAAAAAACTAATATTTTATCCTTGAGTTAACGTGATTCTTGCAAATACAAAAAAGCGTTGCAATTATTGTGCTGCAATCACTGAGAAATTGTCTTTTTCCATTAGTTTTTCAGGGCTTGCTTTTTCAGGCTTCTGTAACCACTGAATTCAAGGACAGTGACTCCAAGGATAGTTAGTTACCTTGGAGTCTGGATGAATTTAGTGCAGTCTCAACCCAATAAGCATTGTGGTTCTCAAGTGCCCAGTCTTGAAAATCTCACTGTTTACCCAGCAACCAGGTGAAAAAGAAATTGTAGAAACTGCATGGTATGTATTTTTATTTATGTATTTAATATTTGTTACAAGCTGATCATGAATGATTTTTTAGTCTCTAATCCCTTTTGCAAGTGGTAATATATCTAATCCACTGTCATGAAATAAACTGTAATCATTAATTCTAGAAGCAACTGGTGAGAGAGATTATGGCAACTGCTATTTATGTGTAGTTTTGTTCTCATAAAAACACTTTTGAAACATTTATGAAATGAATTTTTAAGGAAAATTAGATATATTAATTTAGCCATTTATTTCTGAAGTTCAAGAGGAAAAACCCACTGGAAAATTGACTTGTTTTCTTGTTTTGTTCCTGATAAAGTTCCTTAGCAATTCATTTAGCTCATGGCAGAATTCTGGCAGTCTGACAATAGCCGAAGTATAAGCCCCCATCTTCTCGTTTTTAGCTCTTACTTTGCTGCTGCTCTCCCAAATCTCCCCCAAGGTTTAAATAGAACTTGGATAATGGAGTACTAGGCTTGAAAGCTTCCTCAGAAATTATTTGGATAACCATTGTGCTGGCAAATGTGTCTGTGTATTTCTAAAGCACTAAATCCAATTTGGGGGACTCCAAATGAAAATGCCCTTCTCTGGTCCTGGTTGAGACTGTCTTATGAAAGCTCACTCCACAGGGGTATTATATTGAATGCTAGGTAACAATGCTTTTTACCAAATAAAACTATGCCCTCAATTCATGTGTTCATTTTCTTTTAAAATTTAGGTTTCCTAAGCAAAGAATACAAAACTCTGATGCCTTATGACAATTAGGACATGATTTTTTAAAAAAGCTATTTCTTCCTATAAGGATAATTTTGGAAGAAACATATAAGCAAAATATAGCATTGGTCAACTAATTTTTTATTTAATGTTGAGGTTGGCTAAAGGAAGGATAGATTAACATGAAACAGGGAACTAGATGTGGCTAGGAAACTGATATGTTCATCAAAGAAGGACATTAATATGTTTTAGGATTTTCAGGTAAATTTTCCCACAGAAACTTAGATTAAATTTTATAATCCAATGCAAAAGATAAATAAAATGCAAAGGAAAGATAACTTCTTATTTCCCTGAGAAAAATGAAATATTTTTCAGCAACAGAACATGATATCCTTTTTCTTAATTTATCAACTTGAGGAAAAAGATATTTCCCCAAAGTCTATGAGGCTCAGATTAATACTATGGAAGGAGAATTTAAGTAAGTCAGGGTAATGTTTTCAGAAATTCTTTTCTTGGGGGAAGGTACTAGGGATTAAACCCAGGGCCTTCACACTAAGCTAGTTCCCCAACTCTTTTAAAATTATTTATTTTGAGACAGGGTCTTGCTAATTCGCTAAACGGATGCCCATGACAGCTTGAAGTGGCTATCCTCCAGCCTCTGGAATGAACAACCTGTGGGTCAGGAAGCAAATACTTGTCCTATTTCAGGCACAAGGACTTGGAAAGTCTATTAACACCCTAAAGCCTCAAGAAAATTTCAGTATTTTTTAATGTGCTACCGGAATGTAACGCACTATAATATTTTTAAATCCATTTAGAGTGAAGCTGTCTAGAATTCCAGAAGAGATGGTGTGCTTACCTTGTTGGAAATCACATCCTGCACGGTGGCTTTCACGCTAAAAGAGAGCTGAAATCGAGACACCTCACTCAGTTAAGAGGAAAATAATTCCAATGGTTGGGAAAGTAGTGTTGAGGGCCCTCCTCCATCTCCCTCCTCCTTTCCCCTCTGTTTTCCTGACTTTCCTGCCCTATTCCTGAAGTGAGATGTTTAACAGTGAGCTCTATAAGAAAAATATAGTCCATATTCTTTTGACATATTCTTTGTAAATGTTCTATCAGTTAGAGTTCCTAGAAGGAAGGAGACAGCAAACTACAGAAACCAACTGAGCAAACATTAACAAAGTCTTTGTAAACAAAGGGACCCTTGACAAAGTGGGTAGGCCTGAGGGAACCAATTAAAAGTAGTGAAACATCCAGGTGCTGGTGAAGCCTTTACCATCTTGAGGCCTAAAACACAAGGAAAAGTAATAATTACTGGAATTCCGTGGGAACTGTAGCCTTGGAGCTACAATGGAGTTGAGGCCTTAGGTAGGGCAGAAGGTCACTGTCGAAACTTCGGCCAGGTCTCCTTCCACCCTCTTGTCTCCTACTGATATCTCGGACTGACTGGACCAATTAGAAATGGGAATGTTATGGAGCTTGGCTGAAGCAACTTTAAAGTTTACCTCTGAGGGCAGAAAATAGGGCAGAGAAGAACGCGGAATTGATCCGGAAGGGCAAAGAGCATCCAGCACACGTCTAGCACACACCAGGCAATGTGTTAAACGTAGCATCATTTTTTCTTGTTAGCGTTACTATTTAGGGTGGTAGATTATGAGATGGTCATAGAGAGAATAGATTCTAATTTCAGGAAAGATTTTTCAGATTTTTCCCTGATAGTTCCAACCTAGCATTCAAGCATGTCTCTACAGCGCTCTTTTGTACAAGGGGTTTTCTTCGAATTAAGATGATTCTAAAGATTAGACATCTCCAGCTGCAATTGGAAAAGTATGTAAAAGGAACTCTCTATGTTATTGAGCATAAATAAGAGGACAGGTTAACTGCATGCAAATATTTCTAAGAGATTCTTGCATTGGGTACAAAGTACAGGAGTGTGTGTGTGTGTTTAAACCATCATGCACTTTTATATGGCCTGTGTCACTCAGATTCTGTGCTTGCATAAATTCTAAAGGTTTCTTTCAACCTCTTAACTAATATTATTTTAATTTTCAAGTCCAATTTTTACATTCTTTTTAAGAAGAATTCTCACCTGCTTTGCAAACAAGGACAAATTAATTAACCTCTCTGAGCTCAGGTGCTGTCAGTAAAGAGCAGTGGTGGTACTGACTGAGGAGGTTGTCATGAAGATTTGATGCCTATAAGACATTGCGATAGTGGCAGGCACTGAGCCAATATTAAATAAATATTTATTTTATTTATTACTATAGCAGAGTGTATTCTCATTAACTATATACAAGATGCTATTGGACTCTAAATCTATTATCCACTTTTATTTCATATGATTCCACTTACTTAATCCAATTTAACCTTGAAGTATTCCTTACCAGGTATACTTTCAAAAATTGATTATTTCTTCATAAAACTAAATCATATTGATTATAAAAAATAAACATTATAGATATGATATATGAAAGCCCTAGAGAAAGCTGTCATTAGCAGGTGAAATCACTTAGATGTAGTTTGAGTTTCTCCATGGGGAGGTCATTAGAAGTACTGCCCTTGGAATGTACTGGTTTTTGCCTAGTTTTCCACTCAAAATATATATTTTACTTCTCTTACAAATTAGCAATATCTGCTTTGTTTGACCTAGGCCAAAGACTATGCCAAACACTCTGCATTTAGTAAATAGTCAGGAAACATGCTTTGAATGAATAAATATACATTTGGGAGCAACTTTTAATGGCGGAATAACATTTCATTACATGTATGTACTACACTGTATTCATAAATCTCTTATTATTGGAACTCATACAGCTTTCAGATTCTATCATTATGCATATAAACATCCTTCTTTGAACTTATGTGCATATTTTGCTAAAAACTTAACTAGGACTAAGTTTGAGATAATGAATTTCTGTGTTCAACAATATGGACTTTTTATGAGAATATGTATTCCAGTTACTCTACAAAAAATGTTTCATGGCCTAATAGTGTTTTTTCTTATTCTATCCCTTATTTCATAGTAACTAAAAATAGTTTTCTATTTGTCTAGCGACCTATTTGTATAGTAAATAAATGTCACTTCCAGGAAATGTTAATCTGTTTCAAGAGACTCTATCCATTTATCTACGTTTCCATTATATATATTTTAGAAATGTCAGTCTTTCCTGATACTTACTTAGTGCATCTTTAGTTCCTTTTAATACATGAAAATATTTAACAAATTACTTTTTATTTCCTACTCTATAAGAAATGATTTGTGGTTCTTATTTTTTGTAGCATTTAATAAGAAATTCACAATTCATTGTTCAATGCTGTAATGATCTCTTTATCTATAGAAATAGCTTTGAACTATTCTACATATCAAAGTACTTATATTAATAGCTATATACCACAGAAGTTTATTCATAATTATAAATTTTGTGCTTGTTTTCAGATGTGGATCTCATTTGAAAAACTAAAGTCATACACATTGATTTATAAGAACACTAAAAAATGAGATCCTTTTTAATAGGTTTTTATTTCATAAGGCATTTTCAACTTGAGTTTCTAGGGTAACTATTATATTATTAAAACACTCTTAGATTTTGCAACCTCAACACAGTAACTTAACAGGGATCTGTACTTTTAACATAAATGTGATTTCTAGTTTATATTTTGAAAAAAATTTTGTGGCATTTCTTGTGGTTTCTTTAAGTGCAGCTGAGATGATGGACGTGTAAACTAGCTGAAAATCACAGCTTCAGACCTTTCTATTTGTTGATGTATGTGGAAAGTGCAAAGTAAACTACAAATGCTGTTGAAATTCAAATGCAGAGCATTTCTGGCTCCCTTTTTATAAGATTGGACCTCTGAGCTATTATAGACAGATTTTGTTAATGTATTTTTGAAAATCCAAATTAATCTTAGCAAACTAGAGGGCAGTATAGTAGTTGCTGTATGGAAAAGGTATAGTTGCATCTGTCCCTGTTCTTGGTCTGAGTTTACCAAGTTTTATATTCTTAATATTTTAAATTAAAAATACAAAATTAAATATCTTCCTGCATAAATCAACAAAATATATTTTAAAGCAGCTTTAAAATGAATAAATAAAATTATCCTCAAAGGAAATTCTTAATTTTGTTCTATTATAACACTGGATATTTTTCTTTGTTTTGTTTTCACCTTGATCTTTTTATTATTCTTATTATTATTCAACTTCTGTATTCATTTGACTTGGCAACAAAAGTCAAATTACCCTCAGTCATATTTTTCAATGAAGGAAAACATTGAATATAGTAATAGACTAAATTTGTATAATTTTACAAACAGTTATGATTGGGCATGTACTCAAGAAAAACTGAGCTCTGATTATGTTCCGGAGGTAGGGGCAGTTCAGAAATGAAATAAATTTCTTTCCACTAAGGAATTGAGAGTGAGGGGGAAAAGATAATTATGATAACATGTAACAACTAATTTCCTGCATGTATGCCTAAATTGTGAGAGCAGTACAGGTAAGGAAAGAGTGTCTATTCAGCATCAGATCTCAGGTAATTGACCTAGGCCATGAAAGATGAATAGGAATCATTCAGGAAAGAGGGAAGACTAGGAGATAGAGGAAAAGGCATGTGCAAAGGCACAGAGTAATGAGGAGTAGAGGCAGAAACAATATTGAAGATATGTGGAGTAATAGAGCTGCATAGCAGATAAGATACTTTTTCTGAAAGAACATGTATGATGTTGCATTTTCTTCCCCCGAGGTTCCAGGGTAGCCATAAAAATATTAAGAAATTAAGCAGTGGAATGATGTGATGTAATTTCTCCATTTGTACTCTGGCATAGATATCAAGGATCAGTGAAGAGGAAAGAAGAACACCATGTAGCAATTCAGTCAAAGTTTACAATGACTGAACTCATACAAACAGAATTTTAAGAGGGAGTTTAAGAGGCCTTAAGGAAGTAATAAAGTTAGGACTAGTGGATAATTGGTTGAAGGAGACCAGGGTGAGGAAGGAGACCAGGGTGAGGAAGGAGAGAAAGATGACTCCCAGGTATCTCATTTGGGCAACCGGATAAGCGGGATGAGCTCTATTCTTATGCAGGGAACAGAGAAAGAGAGCAGATTAATAGGAATGGTGTCAAGTTTGGATTGAATATGCTGACCTTGTGATATCAGCCATATTTTCAGTGGAGATGTAAGGAGCATGAATTTGGTAGTCAAAAGAAAATTTGAGTAGGACAGATTCTGGATACAAGGACATAGGTGTCATTGTAAATAAGAAGATTTGGAGATAGGAATGATATTTTGGTTGTGGTTGAAACTTTAAGTGGGCATGAAATGGCCAAGGGAGAGAGAGTAGAATAAGACAAGGAGTTCTGAGAAGAATGCCAGTATCTGGCAGTTGGGCAAAGGAAAAGAAACCTGAAAATTAAGTTGTAAATAATTCCCTAAAGAGATAGGAAAAATATTGTAAGAAAATGATTTCATCCACTTAAAAAACAATAACTGAAATTTATTCATTGAGTTGTATAATTTGAAGGTATGACCAACTGGATGACAGGAAGAAATTGTGGATTAGTCGGGGTTGGACACTGGGCAGACTGAATTATAGAGGTGATGTCGAGAAAATGACAAGTCAGAGAAAATGACATCTATTTCACATGTCTGTGCCATTTTGAAAGCTAAAGATCATAATTTGTAATGTTACCAAACTGCAGGTTTAAAAGCTTTTCAAAAAGTAATCTTCATTATCGAAGCTTAGAAGTAAAGATATGTGGTTGACTGGAGTAGAAACTTTGCCATGTATGCCTCAAAAAAGGTGTCCGCAAGGAAGTGGACGACATTGACAGACTCAATAAAAGAAAACAGAAAACAATAACCTAATTTTGGAATAAATGACCCTTCCTTCCAGTTAGACTAGAACAGTATGAAATCATATTACTCCAGTCCC